TTTTGAAGATTAAAGTTGGCTGGAAAGCATGGAGCTGGAAGGGAGTTCCATAAGTGAGAAGTATGACAAAAGAAACTGTTAGCATATAATTTACAGTTACATCGAGCCAACCCAATGATAAGTTGGTGAGACCTCACTGCCAATCTAGTACTGTGCTTAAATTCAAAAAGTCTAGGTACCATAGTAAAGAGCTCATCTGAAAAATTACCATGAAAGTATTTATAGAAAAGGTAGAGAGAAGCAACCTTACACTGAGTAATAGAGAGACTTAATAAAGAAAATATGCTCTCCAACAGGGTTTAAAACTGTGTCCTCCTTTGTAGGAGAAACTAACATCTAATCTGGCATCCTTTAGAGCTCCTAATTACAGGAAGCATCAATGCCCAGCAAGCTCCAAGTACCTTTTTTGAAGAATAAACATTCTCTTATTCAGATTTTCTTGAAAGCCCATATCAACTCATTTTTTGTATCCAAAACATAAAGAAAGTAATTCTAAGGAATCAATGGATTCTTTTTATCTGACATTATATCCTCTTAATCCAAACATTATTTTGTGGATAACCATGTTTGAGTAGATGTCCTGCTTGTTTAAACAGTATGAATTACAATTACTGGCCTGTACAATCAAGAGGCTTCATAAAAAAAAAAAAATGTGCTCTCCAGCAAGTTTTGTAACTGAGTCCATATTTGAAGGGAAAGCCAATATCTGATCCAGAGTGCTTTAGACCACTTGACCAGAAAACCTTTTTGAATAATGTACATTGTCGTGTTCAAATCTCGAAAGCCTATACTTGCCCATTTTTTGTATCTAAAACATAAATAATTTCTAACAAATCGATGGATTTTTTTTATCTGAGATTATTTCCTGTTACTCTAAACATTACTTTTATTGGATGCCCATGTTTAAGTAGAAGCCCTGCTTGTTTGAACAGTGTGAATTACATCTACTGTCCTGCACAATTAATAAAGGAAATGTGTTCTCAGTTTGAGTCCCTCTTTTTAGGAGAAGCCAACATCTGATCCAGAGTGATTTGACCACTTGGACACTGCCAAGCAAGATTCAGTTACCTTTTGAAGGAGATCAAAATGGGAGGGTATGCATTTACAAAACTGCTACAAGTTTCACACTTAACCATCTCTATGACTTACGGTCAGAAAAGAAAAAATTCCAGTGTATAATGTTAATAATCTCTCTCTTTTTCTCTCTCATATCTATGAATGCTGAAAAATGTATTTTCACTCCTACTTACATATATATATATAAGTGTGCTCAAGTCAATGTGTGAATCTAAATAGATCACTGGATGGCTTAATCGGCACATGTGTATCTGTACATATATATGCCATTGGGTGACTATCAATATTTAAATATTTCTGCACCTAGCAATATCTGTTTGTATCCACATACATGCACACACACACACATATATATTTTTACTGATGCAATTATATAGGATAGTCAGATCTAACAGAGGTTAATACATCAAGTGTCATTGAATTGATAGTTCTTTGGATTTGATCAAACAGTCTTTGATATTAAAAAAATGGGAGACGTCCATAACAAACACAATCTTTTTATTTAAGTTTTGTTTTTCCATTTTCTCTCTCTCTCTCTTTCCTCCCCCATATGAAATCAAGCCTGTCCAAATTAATTGGTGAAAGAAGTGATCCCAAAATAGAGATGTAGTCAGCTGATTATAGGTGATATATGGTAAACTGATTTTCTCATTATATATATATATATATATATATATATATATATATATATATATATATATATATATATATATATATATATATATATATATATATATATATATATGTGTGTGTGTATATATCATTATATAAATATATATATATATATATTTATATAATGATATATGCACACGTATATGTGTGTGTGAGCATGTATATATATCATTATTTATATATATATATTTATATATATATCTATATATATAAATAATGATATACATATATATATATATATATATATAATGATATATACACTGGGAGGCACAGTGGAATAATAGATAGCAGCTCAGATTGAAGAATTAGAGAGCCAAGTTTGAATTCCAGTCAAATCCATTACATTCACTTACATACTAATACCCTTGGGAAAGGTATGAATTCTCTTCTTCTCCCCCCAGCTATGGGTAAATAGCAGGACAGACCCGGTTTTATAGCGTTGGATGGCAACTGGTCTACCACAGAAAGAAATGACAACCTACCTGGAAGAAAATCTGCCTCATCAGTCATGTATTGAAAGATACATGATCGCCTAATCATGTATCACACATAGCACATAACTGACTGACTGAAGATTTTAGAATTTATTCATCTCAGATGACCAAAACAAATAACTTGCCTGCTCTAATGTGAAGGATGATACTTAGATGTGTGCTACAGTATGTAGGCCAGGTAGGATTCAAAGGTAGTGGTCTGTTTCAAAGCCAGTGATTTTAGAAATTGGCTGGAAAAATATCAAGGTGAGGGTCACACTCCCAGAGAGTGACCATACAGTGCTGCTGCCATTTTTTGGTAAAACATGAAATTGCATTTCTGAGGTGTGTACTTTACATACTCTGATTGACAATACTGGCAGGCTCTAAGTGTTACATTCTATGACAGAGGATGTGGTGGTGGTGGTGGTGGTGTTGGTGTGTCATATGAAATTTGACCATGGGCTGTAATTGGCCCTTGGGCTGAAATTTGGACATGTCTGTTTTACAGGAATGCATTCCTAATGAAAACAAATTCATGAATGAATCATAACTTCATTGGGCATGCAACTACATGCCTATCACAAAGACTTACTTTCTACCTCTTGGAATATAGCCCCACTAGGATACATTTAAATACACAAATAAACTTACCAACTTCTATCTGCAACATACATATAGGAAAAGACTACTGTATTATGCTTATGTAACTGCAGAAAACACTTACAACTAATGGAAGCTTTAATAATAAAGAAGAAGAAAACAAATTCTTAATAATATTAATTTTGAACATGGCTATAATATTCTGACTGTGTTCAGGAATTAAAACATTTCCATTGCTGCAAAAAAAACATCCTTATAAAAAGACATCCTTGATAATGGCTAATAGACTATCCAAACGCACTCAGATCCAAAATTTGGACAGTTCTTAAACACTCTATGTCCAAAAAAAAGGAATTTATTTTATGAATGCAAGAAAAATATAATAAAAAGCTTAATTACAGTGACTTGTCAGTCATCTTCAATGAAACCTGTATAAAATAGGTATTGTTGCCCAAATACACAATGTTTATACATATCTATGTAAATCTAGGGCACTCCAATATGGTGTAATGGTTAACAAGCCTATCTTGCTAGATCAGTTATAACTGAATACTGAGTTTGATTCTCACTGGGTGCTCCCTACGTCCAGCCCTGTGCCACATACTTAGAAAATCATCATATCTCTGCACATCTACAAATATTCCTAAGCAATTTCTGTATCATGAGTTGGCCAAAGGTAAAATCTGAATGCACAAACCGAAATTGAGGTATAACAATTACATCAAGAACTGACTAAAGCAACTTAACTCTGGGTCTTTCATCCTGGAGAAAACCAATGCAAAATTGTAAGAGGGACTTTGAACAGAATTGTGTCAAGCATAAAAAACTCAAGTGACATATTTGTAAGGGTCTTGATGTTAAATTCCCTGATAATGTTAGCACAAAATTTGATATAATGGATAATCAATGTGCTCACATCTAAGTAGGGCAAGCCTAAAAAATCATTAGCGATACCACACAGTGAAAATTTACAAAAATATTAAAGTAACAACTACTACAAGAAGCACCTACTGTTGCCACATCTGTGCAAAAGAATGTAAGGCCCTAGCAGGACTAAAAAACTAGATTCACATTGCCCATATCTGAGAATAAGCCAAGCTGTGACATTACTCAAAACTGAGTCACAGCTACCATCATCTACAAACCCAGATACATATACAAGGTCTGGTCAAAAAGTATCTGAACTGATGCTATAAAAAGAAAACTACAACACATATCAATTCTGAATTTAAGTTCCTTTGAAGCAGTCCCCTTCTGAAGCCACACACTTTATCGAGCATTGTTTCCATTAATGGATTGATTCCTGGAGTTCCCTTGTTGAAATAGCAAACAGCTGCCTTATCGCATTCTCTTGAACTTCCTCACTGTCTTGAAAGCTTGTTTTGTTCAAGTGGGATTTGATCTTTGAAGAGGAAAATGGCACAAAGGATGAGATCTGGGGAATATGGTGGTGGTCAGACCTGGTGAATATTGTCCATAGCCAAAAACCGCTGCACAAGCAATGGTCACTGATTGAACCTCTGTAGTATAGTGAGATGACCACACTCTATACACTTTCCTTTTAAGCACTGCTATAACCAATAATGGAAGTGAACAAGAATGTTTTAACTTACTTTATATGTATAATTCAAAGTCATTCTGTGCCAAGTGGCTTCACTGTGTATACTTTAGTTCTATTACCCCAACAACAGTACTGATACTTTCCAGCCATATTCAAACACAGAAAAGATTATGAAAGTAGATCCAGACTTTCTGTCTGGACTAGAGCTCCAAAGGTGGTTCTCTGTCAACACTGACAACCTGTCAATTACTGCAGCTAGGTTACCCCAAATGTAATGCCCTGTATCATTTTTAATCTTGTCAGCACAGCCAAGAATGGAGCCATCTGTTCTCAGAAGCAGACAATGCCCTTATACTAACACCCACACCCACTTCTGTGCCCTGGAGTGGTCGCTCCAGTCTCATGACCAAAGGACTGAATTTTGACCACACAGGGTGCTACCTTTATCTCACAGGATAAAGAGATGCCTACCAAATGTGCATGTACATATGTGTGTGTGACTATAATATTTCAATTTTGCACATGTCTATAAAGGGGCGCTGGTAAGAATGGATTAAAAAATTTGGAAATTTGGTCAGAATATTCAAAGTGCTTTGGTGGGAGCTGACTTACTTTCATAGACATATTTTGATAGCTAGATAGATAGATAGATAGACAGATAGATAAGAACATACTGAGATAGATAGATAGATAGATAGATAGATAGATAGATAGATAGATAGATAGATAGATAGATATGAACAGACTGAGATAGTGAGAGAGTTATGTAGATAGATAGATATATAGATATGAAAATAGATAACTAGATAGATATGAATACAGGCAGACAGGCAGATAGATAGATAGATAGATAGATAGATAGATAGATAGATAGATAGATAGATAGATAGATAGAAACAGACTGAGATAGATATGAACAGACTGGGATAGATATATAGATATGGACAGAGATAACTAGATAGATATGAACAGACTGGGATAGATATATAGATATGGACAGAGATAACTAGATAGATATGAACAGAGATAGATAGATATCTATGTTCATATCAGTCACATCTATCTATGAACATAGATAGATAGATATGAACAGAGATAGATAGATGAACATAATCAGAAACAGATAGATAGATAGATAGATAGATAGATAGATAGATAGATAGATAGATATGAACAGGCTGAAATAGATGTAAAGATTTACAAATAGACTGAGATAGATATGTAGATACTAAAAGAGATATCTAGATAGACATGAACATAGAGAGAGAGATAGATATCAATATAGATAGGCATGAACATAGATAGATATCTATCTATCTATGTTCATAACTATCTATCACATCTATGAACTTAGATATATTGATTGATAGATACTAGATATGAACAGAGATAGATAGATAGATAGATAGATAGATAGATAGATAGATAGATAGATAGATAGATAGATAATGAGAGCGACAAATAAAAGAAAGAAAAAAGAAAGAAAAAAGAAAAAAGAAAGAAAGAAAAAAGAAATAAAGAGACTGGGATAGATAGATATCTAGATATGAACAGAGATAACTAGGTAGATATGAACATAGATATCTATGCTGATATCTATCATAGCTATATATTAACATAGATAGATAGATAGATAGATAGATAGATAGATAGATAGATAGATAGGAAAACAGATAACAGAGAGATTAAAATAAACACTGAGATAAATAGATAGTTATGAACAGACTTAGATAGATAGGTAAATAGATAGATAGAGAGAGAGAGAGTTATGAATAGACTGAGATAGATATATAGATATGAACAGAGATAACTAGATAGACATAAACATAGATAGATAGATAGATAGATAGATAGATATGAACATAAATAGAAAGATATTAATAGATAGAGAGAGAGTGTGGCGAGAGAGATATTCATTCTATTTCTCTATCTATCTACTCTTGTAATAAAAATATAATTTGCCTTTTTTTTATCTTATTTGCTGTTTAGCAAAAAACTAAATATCTAAGATCCATGAAAAATAAAATGTGGAAATCTAAGTAAAAATACAATGGCCGAGCTTGAATGGACAGTTTTTTTGCTGTAGAGGAAATAAATGAATTGCAAGAATCAATATTTTTTTGTTACTTAATAAGAACAAATAGCATGATTTATTTCAGAAGCATTTTAGAGAATTTTTTATAAATGCATAAAAATGATAATTATATATATATATATATATATATATATATATATATATATATATATATATATATTTATGTATTGGACACAGATCTATTAGGGTGGCCAGCTAATTCCTGTGAGAGTTGCCTTCTCCGGCAGAATTTTGTTTCTACAAAACCCACAGAGCCCAACTTTTGTTCATACTACAACTATACTGTTCCTGGAAGTGAATGTATAATCTGGTAAGATCAACAGCTGAACAAGGTTAGTATGCTCAAACCTTACATCTATCTATCTATCTATCTATCTATCTATATATATATATATATATATATATATATATATATATATATATATATATTACATACAGTATTGATGTACTTTTACTTCCTATTGTATGTAATTTATATGCTCTGTTTAATAAAACATTGAGCTCTCTATGTGAATAAATTTTAATATTGTTATTATATTAATAGGGTTCACTTGGATTATATACCAACAGACTATTACCTGTGTGTGTATATATATATATATATATTTAATCAGTTCAAACATCTTTTACGAACAGCATTTTAAATTTTAAGCGTACTTCAATTTTCCCTTTTATTCCGTATTTTTTCTATATACCTACACCTCATTTCCAACACTTAAATCCTGGTATCGTTTTAGTACTATTTTTGTGCTATTTTAATTTTGAACTATAAATCAGCGTCTATCCCATGAACATCTGTATACTTTTTTTAAATAAACAATAAGCTATATCTCATGCTTCATGAGCTGGGTAACCAACGAAACTTGAGTCACACACCATAGTTATATGTGTATTTTTTAATATATATTTCTTAGCTCTGTCTAATCACATTGAGCACTATTATGTTTACATCTCTAGGCAAAACTTGGTAATTATTTATTTGCTTACTAGCGTACATACACCAGTATATGCATATATGGTCACTAATATCTAGTTATCTCATTTACCTAACCCTATACCTATATATATGTTGTGGTAGGATCCACCTAATTTGCATAGTGGAGTACCGACCATATAAATATGGTTGGTACCGGGGAGAGAGAGAGGAATCAAGAGATTCAACCAGAGACTCTGCCCGACTGCGACTCAGTCAACACATTCTCTAGGAACGGTCTTACCAGGAATATACAAAAGACTATATGTAAATATTGTGTACACTTTCTTGTTTCAATACATTTTGTTCTAAGTACATTTTGTGTTGCATTATTATTCCATGCATTAGTCAAGTTTCAACAATATATATATATATATATATATATATATAAATGAAAAGACAACATTTAAAACTATTCTTAGCTGACATGTTTCATCCTTTGATGGACTTTATCATTTTTCTGCTTATGTTTCTATACAAAAGCAACTTTGTCATTGGTTTATCAAGGTTTTTAAATTTGAAAATATTCATGAATATTCATCAGGCTGTTGAAAGGTGGTTTTGACTGACCTTTCAACCACCTGATGAATATTCCTAAATGTTCTCAAATTTCAGAGCCTTGATTAACTTTGGTGATTGTATGAGAAACAGTATTTTAGAATGATATGGCTGTAAGCCATGTGTGTGTGTGTGTGTGTGTGTGTGTGTGTGTGTGTGTGAAACAGTGACCAATTTTTAAAAATCAGTAAGCATATTTACCCACTTCCCCATGATGGAAGGATATGACATGAGATCAGTATAACATGGGATATCCATATGGGTATACAGGCCAGGGACAAAATGTTATGTTGGTGTTGGTATCCCCAACCCACTTGTGCAATAAGAGGGGCCCTTCCACAGTGTTAGAATCCTTGGACAAGGTATCCCTCTTGACAGAACTGTAAACTACCAAAAGGCAGAAACATAACAGAGACAAACAGATACTATACTCTGATCCAAGTCTGAAGGACAGCACTGATCCGAGACAAAAGTGCTTTGATCATCAGTTGATTGTGCATATGCTATATGCTGATACATGGTAAAGGAATGGGGAGTGACACTTTGATTCATTGCAAAGTGCACAGAAGTTTCCACTATAATATCATGTAATAATTACGCCAATAGGATGCAGCAATAAACTATAAAAGTAAATGATATTAATTATAAAATCCATAATGTACAATAAGCTTTAATAATAACAAATATAACACAATATGTTCAGCAAAATGATTTGACAAAATTGTCATGTATGACCAAAATCACATTGGTAACACACATAGGTGAATGAAAACAAAAGTTTATAATGTAGTCATTGATTTAAGTACACATCAGGATTACATGGCTTTGATCTTCAAATATGCAAAAGCAATGAAGAATAATTCCTTTCCTTGTTTTCTGGTATAGTCAAGTGTGTATTCAACATGAGGAGACTTTCCTTGATTTGATGGAGTTAATTTAAAATAAAGAAACATTGTCTCTTGTTTCACGGAGGTGATTAAAATAAAATATATATATATATGACCTAAATGATTTAAAATAAGAAAACATTGATACTTTTTACCAATTTAAAGTAAGAAGACATGAAGTGATTTTAAATATTTTCTCTTCTAGTTGCAATGCTGTTAGTAGTGTTCAAGAGATGTGGTTTTTGTTACAGGAAACATTTGGCATTCATTAACCAAACAGTTAGCATCAAGGTCGGTTGAAATTCATAAAATCTTTTTCTTAAATTTTTCAGCAAATTAGACTTCTCATGTCCAGTAACTGCCATTGCTGTTTCTAGTACTGATGGGACTTTCCTTCCAAACCTTTAGTTTAGGGTAGTGTGGAAAGTTAACATCTTGATTATATCATTATCTTTTCTTTTAGTTACAATGCCTGTTTGTTATTCTTACTGTTAGAGGTATCCAAGCAATATGGTTTTATTTGATAATGCTTTTCATTTGTAATTTCGTAGCACCAGTCTATAGGGACTAATTATTTTCTTTAAAACCTAAAGGATTCATATACTGGAAGAAACTTTTAATCTTAATCCTAATGATTATAAGATAAACTAATGTGAATTTTGTATTCTGTGAATATTGGCAGATACCCACTACTCATTTTTGTTGTTGTTACTGTTGAAAGTCTTCAATTGATGTAGTTTTCATTATCTGCTAAAACTCTTTGTGATCAGATGAAGAATTTTCTTCCTTAAGATGCAAAGAATTTATTCGTCCCAAGCAGCTTTTAATCTTAACCATAATGATTAATTATAAAACCACAGAAAAATAATGTGAATTCTGTATTTTAAAACAAGTTTGTTATTTGAACTTTATTCGCTTGCTTATTTATTTTTTAAGTGCCTGGCTTAGTAAATGCAATATTCTATAGCATTTATAATATTTAAAAAAAATAATGCTGCCCTTGGCAGAAAATAAATGGTCACTCATTTAATATAGACCATTGAAAATATTGCTTAACTACTGTCAACAAGTTGGGGCTAGTATTACTAACCAGCTACAGCC